CATGATTGCTTTGAAATCTATTCACAAGACCATATGCATTACTCAAATCAGGTCAACATAACATAATTTATACATCCTACAACTTGAGCATGTGGAAATTCTTTCTATTTCAACTTTATCATTATCATTTTATCATTATCATTTAATGGAAACATTTTCTTTGGTAATTTCAAGCCTTTATGAGCTTGCAATATTCTATTTTAAATCTCTTTAAAATACTTTCAAAATAATTTTCTTGAGATAAACATAGAAGTCTCGAACTTCTATCTCTTGCTATCTTAATGCCCAATAGATATGAGGCTTCTCCCCCTATCTGTCATCTTGAAATGAGAACTTAGTCATGAATTGGTATGGTTAATCATGCCAATATTATTACCGACTATCAAAATATCATCTACATACAGTGATAATATAACAAAGTTGCTCCCACTATTCCAGACATATACACAATGGTCTAACCTATTGGCTACATAACCAATTTTAGTGATTGCATTAAGAAAAATAAAATACCACTTCCTAGAAGACAAACTATACAAATTTAAGAAATCTTTATATGGTCTAAAACAGCCTTTTAGGCAATGGTACTTTATTTTTCATAATGCAATCACTAAAATTGGTTATGTAGCCAATAAGTTAAACCATTGTGTATATGTCTAGAATAATGAGAACAACTTTGTTATATTATCACTGTATATAGATGATATTTTGATAGCTGGTAATGATATTGACATGATTAACCATACCGAATATGGCTAAGTTCCTATTTTAAGATGAAAGATATGGAAAAAACCTCGTATGTATTGGGCATTAAAATCATAAGAGATAGAAGTTTGAGATTTCTATGTTCATCTCAAGAAAGTTATTTTGAAAGTATTTTAAAGAGATTTAAAACGGAAAATTGCAAGCCCATATATACACCCATTTGTAAAGGCTTGAAATTATATAAAAAAATGTTTCCATTAAATGATAACGATAAAGCTGAAATAGAAAGAATTCAACATGCTCAAGTTGTAGGATGTATAAATTATGTCATGTTGTGTGCAAGACCTGATTTAAGTAATGTATATGATCTTGTGAGTAGATTTCAAAGTAATCATGAGATGACTCATTGACAAGCCGTAAAAATGATACTCAGATATATTAAAAAAAGTAAAAATTACAAGTTGTGCTTCCATGCTGATGCAGACTTTGCAGGAGACCCAGATGATAGAAAATAAACCTCAGGACTTGTATTCCTCTTTAGAGATGGACAAGTTTCTTGGTCTAGCAAGAAACAAGGTTGCGTAGCTCAGTATATTATGAAAGCCGAGTATATTGCTTGTAACATTACTACAACGTATGCTGTCTAGATTAAACGCTTCATATATGATTTGAAGCTGGATATAGCCGACCGACATGTTAGATTTTTTTGTGATAATCAGGCTGTCATCTCATCAATTAAAAATTGAGCTTATAGAAAATATGTCCATTAAATGATAATGATAAAGCTAAAATGGTAAGAATTCTATATACTCAATCTGTTAGATGTATAAATTATACAATGTTGTGTGCAGGACCTGATTTGAGTCATGCATATGGCCTTATGAGTAGATTTTAGAGTAATTCTGGGAGGGCTCATTGGCAAGCCGTAAAAATGATACTCAGATATATCCAGAAAACTAAATATTACAATTTGTGTTTCCTAGCTGATGCAGACTTTGTAGGAGACCCAGATGATAGTAAATCAGCCTCAGAACTTGTAATCCTCTTTGGAGGTGGATGTATTTCTTGGTCTAGCAAGAAACAAGGTTGTGTAGCTCAGTATATTATGGAAGCCGAATATATTGCTTGTAGCATTACTACAACGTATGCCGTTTGGATTAAACGCTTCATATATGATTTGAAGCTGGATATAGCCGACGGACATGTTAATTTTTTTTGTGATAATCAGGCTGTCATCTCATCAATTAGAAATTGAGCTTATAAAAAATATGTCCATTAAATGATAATGATAAAGCTAAAATGGAACGAATTCCTTACGCTCAAGCAGTTGGATGTATAAATTATACAATGCTGTGTGCAAGACCTGATTTGAGTCATGCATGTGGTCTTGTGAGTAAATTTTAGAGTAATATTGGGATGACTCATTAGCAAGTTGTAAAAATGATACTCATATATATTAAAAAAACTAAAAACTAAAAATTACAAGTTGTGTTTCCAAACTGATGTAGACTTTGTAGGAGACCCAAATGATAGAAAATCAACCTCAGGACTTGTATTCCTCTTTGGAGGTGAATGTTTTTCTTAGTCTAGTAAGAAACAAGGTTGTGTACCTAAGTATATTATGGAAGTCGAGTATATTACTTGTAGCATTACTACAATGTATGCCGTCTGGATTAAATGCTTCATATATGATTTGAAGCTGGATATAGTCGACGGACATGTTAATTTTTTTTGTGATAATCAGGCTGTCATCTCACCAATTAGAAATTGAGCTTATAGTTCTAAGGTTAAGCACATTGAAATTGATTATCATGATATTATTGAAAAAAGTGAAATAATTGTAAGTTATTTGTCACTTTCATAGATGATTGTAGACCTTTAACATAGCGATTGAGTGCAGAAATATTCTCAAAGCATATAACTTTGATAAGACATAGAAATATTTAAGTTAGGAACTCCCAAATGAGATATTTATCTTTGATGTCTTGGTCATGAGAGGAAATACCGCATTAGCATGAAAAACCCCCATGACATGACTTTGGATATTTTTATTATGAGATGTATAACAGCACTAGTGTGAAAAACCTCATGACAAGGACATGCTCATAAATGTTAAACCCACTAAATGGATTATTTTAATATATCTGGCATTCATGGGCAAGTAGGAGATGTTGGTACATATGGGTGGCCATGGGGCCCTCAAACATGTTATATTTCTCTCTATCTATCTTTATCATGTATTTTAATATTTATCACTAAAAAATGGCTGCATAGAGAGAGAAGATCCCTTTATCCACGAGTGGAAGATAACTACCCACCTCCTAAGAAAAGAGGGCCACGTTTCTCAGAGATTTCAGGAGAAAAGCCGAACATTGGAAAACGACCTCCTCTCATCCTACTTTAAGAAGGGTTTCATAGCTATGGAGATGAATACAGAGAAAGCACAAAGTTCTCAATTGTTTTAGTAAAGCCTAATATCTGCGATCCACAGTCTTACGATATTGCATTTGATTCTTGGGACTTTGGCAAGTTCATCTCTTCCCCTTAAAATCTCAACAATACTCGTGTCAGATCAATGGATTAGATCGGAGATTCGGCTGAATCGACAATTTTTGTCCCAATTTTTTTTAAAAAAAATCACTTTAAATTTGTAAAAATAATGTTCTTTTAGTTTATAAAAGAAAATTATGAGTGATGTATTATGTACTTTCTTTACTTTGTGAAAATAGGTGAATATCGAGACACTGTTTTCATGTCTAGATGTATAATTAATAAATAAAAAACAAGATTTGGTTATCAATGTATAATTATCAATTATAATAAACATGATTCAATAATTTTTATATAATAACTTAATACAATTCAAAATTATATCAAATTTTTATTGTTGTATAAATAAGTTATGTAGTAATAATAAATTAACAATAAATTATTTGTTAATATTTGTAAAAGTTAAAATATACTATTTAAAAATATAATTTAGACTAAATATAAAAATAACATAACCTATATAACAATAATAATTTGTTAAATAACATAGCAATTTAATATATTAAATTATGTGATGTTTTAATGTATAACAATAAGAATTTCAATATAGTAATAACAATTTTAACATAATTATATTAAATAAGTTAACAATTTTTACATAATTATATTCATTCAACATAATAATATTAATTTAATTACTATATTCATATAACTAAAATTTTATAGTAGATGACTATAAAGAGAGAGACGCATATGTATTTGTGGTGGGGGTGGTCGTGGGTGAGGGTGAGAGAGAGAGAGAGATTATTGTGTACTTGAAATGGGAGAAATGAGAATTGTCCCACGTCGAAGAGGTACTATAAGTTCAATGTGTATAAAATGGCTCACAACTGACTTTAATGGTGTATACATGAAGTGCTCAGATGGTTGGTGAGTGGCCCTGCGTGATGATATTTGGTGGGGGCACATTGTGCCATTGTTTTATAAAAAATTTTCAGAAGTGCCCCATCCTCCATGCTCTTCAGTTTCATGTCAGAAAAAACAGGTGATGCGTCCAATTTATGATCGATTTATGATGTCATCAAGTGACTTCTTATATAAAAATAGGTGATGCGTCCTATTTATGATCGATTTATGATGTCATCAAACAACTTCTTATATAAAAATTCATGTCAAAAAAAACAGGTGATGTGTCCAATTTATGATCGCTTTATGATGTCATCAAGTGACTTCCTATATATATTTATTGGATCCATGGTGGTCTAGACGATGCTTGATTTGGATCGGAGCGCCAAAATTTTAAACACTGGTTTTTAAGGTGACCGATCCAAGTCACCGATATGTTTTTTCAAACATTGGGGTTAATAGTGTGAAAGTCCAATTTGAGAGATTATCTGTAACTTATAGTGAAAAGATTTCTTCCTCCCTTAGGAGGATACTATCCATTTTCTACGTTTTGGATTTCAAATTTTGAGGATGTAATCTTTGCAACCCATAGAATAATCTCAATAAATATTTTTTTTTCAAATAAACTCTGTGTACTAGGAAAAAAAAACTCTTGCCTTAAGATTGAATAGAGACTGCTCAATTTTTGAAGGGCTAGATTTAAGTCTCACAAAACTTAAAATTTAAATGTTTTCTTTTAAAACTAATTATCTAGTAATTATTATGTGTTTTCTAAAATTCTAGGCATAAGTGTTTTGAGCTGGGGAGGAGATGCACAGTATCCTCCCTGTGAAGCATAGTGCATGCCTATTCCTTATATATGCCAGTTTGCATCGCCAAAAATTGGTCAAGCCCTAGCAAGATTCATTATCTGGGTCGGGCAAGGCCAGGCTCCGGCCCCAGTCATACACTTGACGTCGACCCCGGTCCACATTTGTGGTTTTAATTTCCTGCCGGGCCAGTCCCAAGCAAAAAACGGAACATGGAATGGTTCGAATGTTTTTTGTAGGCCCGACCCAGCTCTGGCGAAGTCCAGCCTGGCCATTGGCAGCCCCACGAGTGGCAACAATTAACGGAAGATGTTCGCCGGTAGCTGCACAGCATTTTCGCTTTCATGCTTCATTTATTAATGGATACTCCCAAGCAAGCCACAACTGCAACAATATCAACAGTTGTACCGCTCTCTCTCTGTCCATAAGGTGTTCTTCAAATGCTTTCACTGCATTGTTATTGTTGTTTGTTTTGTAAGCTTCAGGCCATTGTAAATACGTAATGTTCTTCATTCTCCACCATGTTTCTGGTTGAAGCATTTCTTGCTTCATTCACTTATTTAGGGTTTTGCTCTTCTTTAACTTGGACTTAACTGTTTGGTTTCACGTCTGTTTGATTGCTCAAGGAATTAGTGTTTTTTTTTTTTGTGAATCAGTGCTCAAGGGATTAGTGTTTCATTCATATTCTTAGCTTTCACTCTTTTTTCGGTACTCCGGTGTTTGGTTTGATTGTTAAGACTGTAAGATTCACCACTACTCTGCTTCTAGCTTGGCTGAGCAATTTCAATGATATTTTGTATGTGTGTGTCTGTTTTTTAGGGTTTAAGTATGCTAAACGAGCTTATTTTGCTCCCTGAAAACCCAAAACCCCTTAAGAAACTGTGTTTTAGATTTTGATCAAGAAGTGAGAAAAAAAACATCAAAACTGAAGCCCCACTGCCCCTCTTTTGAGAAAATTGAAACCTTTGGTTTATTTCTATGAAACCTCTTTCTGCAAGCTTGTTCCAGAGTTTACATTATTGTTTTTTGCTATTGCGAAAACCTGACCTATAAAAAGGAGAAACAACAGAGGAAGATAAAGTAAAATCAATTCTAGCATTTTGGAGTCTAGGGTTCTTATGAACCTCTGTTTCATGTAACATGTGGAATTATAAATTCCTCTGACAAAAAAGATGTTAATTTGGGCATGCTGCTTTAAACAATGTTCAATTACTCTGCTTGACCTAGGGACTCGCCACTGACCCCTCTTGTGTAACTCGGGCCACTGCCCATCTTGTGCAACTCGGACCGCTGCCCCTATTGTGTAACTCGGGCCAGTACGAGTGGACTTGCCCATCATGTACGAAGGCCGAAAAGGGCTAAAAATTGCAAAAATAATTACAATTTTTTTAAAAAATAAAAATAATAAAAAGCGAAAATACTTACAAAAATGCATTCGAAGTCTACAGAAAATAAAAGTATATCGAAGATGGAATATGGAATATGGAATTCATTTATAGATTGAGACTATTCAAAAGATTCCAAAAAAGGGAAAAATATAGGAAAATAGTGCATACAATAATAAAAGTTCACAATTCATAATAAAAAACATAGAAACTTATCAATATGCATCATTTATTAGTGATTTTTAGTAACTCTTTTTCTTAATTTTTTAAGGCCTTTTAATAAACCTGAGTTTGTCACCACTATCCCGAGTTGAGTCGAGTTAGGAGACGAGTTAATTTGGCTGAGTTTTGGAACACTGGTTTGCAAAAGCATTATCATTGTAATGATTGCAATTCATGTTAGATAGTTGTCTGCGGCAAATGGTGTCAATGGTTATTAAGCATGTAGAATAGGAAGGTATACTATTTGAAGAGTGTGTTACATATTCTGAGTGGTGAGCCAGCAAGATGTTCATGGTGTACTGAGTTCTACAAGCATATGTTTTTCTTTTCTCACTTCTAGTTGAGGCAATAATAGCTTCTTGTGTTCGAATGGAGTTGCATCCTTGCTTCATTTGATGAAACATAGCTGTATTTGACTCTGACATTTTGTTACAGCTTTATTAATTAGAAAACTATAGTTCTACGCTGTGTTTTAAAAAATGCCAAGTTGGATTGTTCACCTTGTTCCTGTTCCCCTAATATATCAGGGACCAGCCGAGTCTAGAAGGGAACCGGCGATTCTGAACAGTGAAACGGCGATTCACTGTTCTGGGATCAGTTGATCGTTCGTTCCACCTGTATTTTTGTATCTTCCATACCAAATCCGCTAGAGAGTTCTTCTCAAATCTTGAATCAAACCTATTGAAATTTGGTTCAAAACATTGATCTTTGATCCTGCTAAGCCCTTGCTTGATCGATTTGAATAACAGAAAAGTCTTTTTGTTGAAAATTAAGACTGATATTCTTAAGGTTTTTGGCATCCGAGAGTTCTCCGATCAAAATCATGTATTTGCGTTCGATTTTTTGATCAATTTCTTGAGGGATTTTTATTTAAAGAGGAAGCGATTGGATCTGAAACAGTTAATTTTCAAATTTATTTCTTATTTTTTAATTTTATTTTTTGTATTTGTGTGTTCTATGCCAAATCTGTCAAATAAGAATGTTCTTCTTGGATTTTGAACCAAAACTATTGAAATTTGGTTTAAAACGATGATCCTCGATTCCTCTAAGATCTTGTATGATCAGTGGAAAACAAATAAAAACATTTCCGATGAAAATCAAGCTTAAAACATTTATGGTATTTTTGGCATCCAAAAGTTCTACTATCAAAATCATATGTTTTTCTTTGATTTTTGATCAATTTCACAAGGGATTTCCAGCTAAAGAGTAGGTAATTGGATCTGCAACAAGCAAATTTTTTTGCAATTTTATTTCGTATTTTTATTTCAATTTTTGTTGAATTTAGGATTTGGGCATAATCCGCCAAATTGAAGATTAAATCTTCGTATTGAGTGAAATTTGTTGAAAATTGGTTTATTTGATTCATTATTCATAAAAATATTATATTTTTAGTTCATTTTATGGTATTAAAGCCTAGTTTTGTGTAGATCTAGCCCCACAAATTAGGATGTTTTAGCTCATTTTTATGAAAAAGAATTTTTTTGAATGATCGCTATAGTTAATTTGATTTTTTTGTTTGATTAATTTATGATGGTCACTGTAGTTAAGTTGGAAAAAAAGAGATATTTTGGCTTTATTGTGTGATTTCAAGGGGAATTTTTTAATTGAATAATCTATTTTTAAATAATTTTTTGACTTGTTATATTTTAGTCTATTTTTATGTTCTATTATTGGAAAATAATCATTATGTTATGAAGAAAATTGCAATTGTTCATAAAGTTTTAAATAAAATACATATTATATTTAAGTGAAGTCTTCGGAAGAAAAAATATAGTTATTTGTAAATATTAACTTATAAATTATATTATGAAGTAAATTATGTTCTTCATAATTTCTGTATAAGAGCGTATTTGTTATGTTTGTTTCGATGTTTTAATTTTTCTGAGATATAGTTACAATTTATTTATAGATTTATTTATTTTTCTTGAGTTTTTTGCTTGAAAATTCTATCTATCTAGGTTTTCGAAATCTGCTTAAACGTGGAATTTTCGTCCTTTTTGCACCAAATTTGGTTCAAATGAATCATTCTGAATATGTCTACAATTATACTGGTGATTGCATAGATCTTGCTCAAAATTAGTTCTGGTTTAGGGATTCCTGATACATGCTATTTTATTGACAAATAATTAATAAATTACTTGATCTTTTAAAGGGTTTTGATACATATGCTATTAGGAAGGATTCTGTTAGTAATCATACTTATTTTCATTTTATATATTTCTCATGATTTTTGTGGCTCAATCTTTGTTTTTAGGAAAAATAACATTTTTAAAGAAAAAGTTGTTTCATTTTATAATATGAAAATTTGTTGAGCAATTTCGTTTACAAGGTCTATCTTATTTCTTCATTTTTTATAATTATTGTTTTTTCACTAAAAATCATAAAATGAGTATACAGTAGTATACAGTTTTTTGTAAAAGTACTATATCAAAATTCGTATCAAAATTAATATCAATAGAGTAATAGACACTCGGACAAGATACAACGTCTCAATTTTAGCGTATTTTTGCAAAATAATGGAAGTATATAATTAGCTGTCTCTATTTCTTTTTTGGGAACTCAAAAAACATATTTTTAGGGATTTTTAGTTTTTTTTTAATTTTTTTCAAGACCAGATCCAATTGATTCTCTGATCTGGACCGTCGATCAGACCCGATTTTTGAGATAGACGATCCGGGTCACCATTCCGTTTTTTAGAACACTGGTTCTATTGATAAGATTTAGTTCTTCCCTTGGCACATTGTCCTCCATTCATTTTGTTGAATGGAGGTGGTCTAAACACTGTATTTTGCAGACTTGTTCTTTACTTAGAATAAATTTCTGTCTGATTAGAGCCTTAAATAAGCCTGATTGACTGGAGTTGTTTTTAGCTAAAGCTCAATTTGATCAGAGTTCCATTTTGCCAGAGATCTATTTGATCAGGGCTCTATTTGACTGGGGCTTAACTTGGCCGAAGCTCATCCCAGCTTTATCCCAAAAGATGGTTTATTTACAGCTTCGAACTTGAAGGCACGAGATCATATTGGTTTCTTCAAATTGTTGAATGCCCTTGACTTGGTTTGAAAACCTAGATGCAAGATAGGTTTAGGGGAGCACACTCTCTAAATACAATTATGTCAGTGAAGCACCCTAATGTTCGAGTTGCACTTTCTAGAAACCCAAAATTATAGTTTCTTGATCCAACCTATCTCTCAAATCGGTAGGATTTGTTACAAAGATCTATTTGAATGTAGTCTCATAAAAAACGGGTGAGAAAATATGGAGAAAAATCTATTGTTTTTTTCATTTAAGTGGATAGTCTTCCTGGCTGCGTTGAAAAAGAGAAGAGTGATTAGGATTTATGAAAAGTTTTGGTAAAGTTTATGTTGGCTGCCTACCGAGCACAACCCACCTCCTTTACCTGGGCTTGGGATGGGCTAAGGGAAAGTTTAAGGTCCTCACCCTTCTTAGACCAAAAAATGAGAAGAGAGATAAAGAGAGAAAAAAAATTCAGAACTTGTCTTTAGTGAAGCAAAGGGGTACATATAAAAGGGAAGAGATGTATACATGTCATCGGAGTGGCTTAGGTAAACAGGTGACCACGGTGAACCAGTAGCCACATCTATTGGCTGTGGCAAACCTGGTGATCGTGGCGAACTAGCATCTATGGCAGACTGTAGATCACATGATGTCACGATGCCAACTCCAAAAATGGTCCCCAACTTGTGCATCTTGGTCCATTTCATGGCCTGGAGACCACAAAACAATCCACACACTACTAACACTAGCAAAGGGATAAGCGAAGCGTGAACACGGCCTCCCACCCTTGAAAGGTCTACGGGC